TTATAGAGTGTATTTGATAGAATGAGAATTTGACTTTGATTGTTGAGTGAAATGAATGAGAAATTAGCAAAAGAAAACACTTTTGGTGATAAAAGCTATGAGAGCGATTGCAACAGTAAGGAAAAGAATGAAAACCCTGTTAAAACAAAACAGAATGGAGAGTTTACCCAAGTTAAAAAACATTACCACAATGGCGTTCAATCAAAACATTGCACGAAATATTAATTTCTCGACCCCTCCATTACCCCTTGACACCTCCAAATTACCCGAAATGGGTAATTTCACCCCTACGAAACCCACTACTCTAGACCAAATGGTGCATCAGAAATGTAAGAAACCGATTTGAGCATTTTTCCAACTAACGATATTGCGTTTCTAGCGTGAATCTTGAGTCTCTCAACAAGGTGTAATGGAACGTGCATGAGAAAAGTGGAATCGTCGGTGACATGTCTACGTAAAGGGTTCGGCTCAGGGTTGAATCAAGGCAAAAATCGGGCTTGGCAGCCTTCGAATGCTATCTTCGAAATTAACATCCTTCGAATGCTATCTTCGAGATTAACAACCTTCGAATGCTATCTTCGAGATTAACATCCTTCGAATGCTATCTTCTGTTCATGTCTTTCATCTTTCACTGTTTTCTATGCAGTTTTTTATGCCAATGATCCTTAGTGCTCCCTTCTTGATATTTGGTGAGCTTTTGCGCATGATGTGTAGTGCTGTTCAAGGAGAAATGACAGCACTGATGGTGGTCAGGAGTCCAAACATTTTCGTGAAAGGAGAACTTGATATTTCTAGTCAGAAAGCTATGACCAGTCTCCACAGTGAAATTGAAAAAGACTATTCTCGTTCAAACGAATATCAGATGTTGAGTATAGAATGGTTTTCATATTTTGAGCGAGCGCTCCGCTGAGTGAAATGTTAGGATTAAAACTTTGAAATTGGGAGCCATTATTAATATTGAGTGTTGACATAGTGAACTGCAGCCGTATTAGTGACCTGATTCGACTTGAATTGTAGATAATCATTCTTCTAGAAATATGAGACGATAAACATAGCCTTGCATTAGAAATTTCAAAAGCAATACTTCAAAAAGTCATCTCGCGATTTTCATTGATAAAATAAGGTTCACTCTCCCTTAACTCATAATATCATAATACCCGTCCGAAGGAGGCTATCTTGTCCAGAAAGATCTTCGATGATCTACCACAGCTCCGCACAACAAACATCTCACACCTGATTTGCATCCTCAAACATTCAGTCCGTTGGTACACAATTATCGGGCAATTATCAAGGAAGCAAATCAACCCGAGGGATCCCAATGCCCCGAGGGTAACAGTTAGGACTGTAGACCGCCGACCCTCCTGGTCCCCGACCCAACCGTAGTTTAGCTAAGACTCAATGGTAAAATCATGCTGTTGCGTACTTCTATAGGCTTCTCATTCAAATGCATCGTTCTTTGACTGTTAAGAAATGTTCAGTTTTTTGAAGTTTGATGACTTTGAAGTGATCGTTATTATTTGCTAATGCCTCTCTAAATATTTAACGCTGAACGAAGAGATATTCATATACTCACCTGACAAATGGATATTTCAGATGAGCTATCGAGTTTGTTTCGATAGAACAAAAAATTATGGCTATTAAGCGTTGCTGCTATGATGTTCTTCGAACCACTTCGTAATTGTGAATTCACTGAAAGTTCGTTTGGAAAATTTTGATTGTTAATTAAATATCCAGTTAATCCAGTTAATTAAATCCAGTAATCTTCGTGATGTTTTCAATATCAAGTGCTAATATTTGATATTGAAGGAACTTCCGTTATGTTCCCGTCGAGATTCTTGAAGATCAATGAACAAATGTCACACTTTTCGATTTTGCATGAAATCTGAGTCAAATACCCTCGAAATACCGCCTTCAGTTAGCAGAACGAAAAATATGAATTCAGTCTGGATTACAAAACTCTCAGCATCGGGCTGAATTGAACTCTGACAACGAGGCTTTGAGCTGGAATGTCAAAAATGAAAAAAGCTTAGCAATCCCTTCGCATACCTCCGTCCATTCCACTGTAACTTAATATGTCACATTTGGTATGCCTTATCTCAGTATTATTCCACACATTCACAAAATCATCGAAGTTGTTAAATGGAAGTCGAGCGATGTTTATGATGCGTTCTGTTGATCGTTCGTCTACAATAATCCATTGATGTCACGTGCAAAAACTATCGAGACTGTCAAAGATCTATGACCGCATTTTATCGAAAACTCCGAGAATAGATACTTTAGAGAGTAGCTTACGATTGTTGTGTTCACAAGTGAATGGAACTTCATCAGGTAAAAGAACCATTGCGATATCATCACTCGGAATACCGTTATCACCGTACTGAAAACCGTTAACCAAATGAATCACACGGTTATTTATCTTGCCCACTGCGTAAAATTCAGTATGTTGTGCAGAACAATCCTCAATAAGTTTAAGTGCTGTAAAAGGCTGGCGCTGAACAACAATGGAATTTGAAACAGCTTTCTAGAGTGAAAGCAATATTGAAACAACTTAATACTTCGACCTCTTATCAATTATTTTGGATAATTTGTGAAAGAAGTGATTTACCTTGTACACCCACTGAACTGTTGTTTGTGCAAATTCCACCTGTCCTCTTATGCTGAAGACCACTGTTACCCTAAAAGGCTGCATCTATATAGACTGCAAATTCATCTCGAAACCAAATTTCTTCGCTTTTATTTATTTATTTATTTTATTCATCTCTAATCTCCCAGAATCAGTTCGATGAAAGTCTGTACGTGTTATTCGTTCGCTATGCAATTTTGTGTACATGACAAGATTGGAATGTTCAGTTCAAACGACAGATCACAAAATAGCCAATAGACGAATAACAGGTGATATGAGTTTTTTTTGATTCTGCGCATTTTTTGAGCATCATCAAACATCTTTATCTATTCGTCATCCTGTACTAAATATTGTGGGATTCCCTCAACAACACAACAGAATGCAATTGCTTAGAATGATTCACAATGAGCGATGTTCGTCCGTTATCAAACTTCTTCGATTGTTAACATAATGGGAAAGACTCAGGACTATCAACGCTGCTTTATGGTGCATGTAGATGCTACGTGCTCATATTCAGTCAATTATGATGATGTTTTTCTTCATGTGATACACATCCTTAGTTTGATCAGGGTGATGATTAGGTCACGACGAAATACTAACGATTTTGTAAATTCGAAACTGCCATTCGTTCCTTTCAAGCAGTGTGCTGCTGTGAGGACAACTCGACTTGAAACCAATACTCCTAAGCACTCTGACGGGACGAATTCATCTGAAGGTTTACTATAAATCAGAGGCAAATTATAGCTTGAATCTTCGTGTGTAATCTGGCGTCGTAATTCCAGCACGTTCTCTGTCGAACTGAGCTTGGAATAACGAACAATGAGATGTAGATTGAATTATCACAGAAAAGAATTATGACTTCATCGACCATCACAAATTATATTCAACGACAGTCTGGTTTTGAAGGTTTTGAAGTTGTTCAGACTATATCGGCGTTGAAGACAGATTCATTTTCGAATAAACATCGCGATTGTGAATGAGTTTGCGTTATTGAAGAACTCGCAATATCACATTTGGAGATAGTGCTCAGGGCTCCGGCAATGTGTTGAATGTGTGTAGCATGAGGTGAACCTCAACGAGTGTCGCGACAGAGACGATTCGTGAGGGACACCAAAGTGATATAAATTCAACCTTAACTAAGAGGTACACGGATATCGTGCACTATCGATTCGGATGAGGAAATGTAACTTTCGTATACGTCACTTGGAGGATCTACTCCCTTTTGTGTTTGTGTCATATGTGTTTCGTATAATTCAGTGTTATAACAAATAATTGCCGAAAACGAGATTGATACCGATTATGTGGTAATATAATTTAGAATATTACCAATTATGTGGTAATATAATAGCAGTGCTTTCCATTTCGAACCGTTTCCATCTATCACATAAGCCGGCGAACTGCTATCAAACCCATGACCTTCTCCTGTCCGGCAATCGTTTATGCCCAACATCGCATTTAAGAAACATTCTACTGAATCCTTGTTAAAACCAACCTTTCATTTGAATAACTTCTCAATTTTCCTACTGAATATTTAATAACATGTGAAATGGAAAATGTAATGTGATATAAATGATTTCAAAGAGTACCGTTTTCGGCAGACACAATATTCAGTTCAACCAGATAGGGATAATTGTTTTCACTTTCATGACGCATGTTTGACTGAAGATGAAATGCGAGCGATGATTCAACTGTTATCAGCGAGAGGAGCAAAGCCATGAAATACGGGGCTCCGAAAGAAGGAGACAGCAGGGCGGATTGATTCTGTGACGGCGATGATGAGGATGAAAAGCGTGATTTCATTTGAAGCTTATTGAGGTGACGAACTAATTGCGGTGACGAAGCACATATTTATAGGCTAACTTCACTGTATATCATAAATTAAAAAGTTATGTAAGTGCATATTAAAACTTATTATTTCCTATTTATATACATGTACATGTATTTTTGTCTGTCTATGATTAATTGTACTATGCAATTTCTCATAAAGAAAAGTGCGCAGTGACGTATCTGATCTTGCTGGATTTAATTAAATGGTATTCGATTTCTCGGAAGTGGTATTTGATTTAATTAAGTAGTATTTGATTTCTCTGAACAGTGACGTTTCTAATGTACAAAGTTGACGAGTTGATCTTTTCTGCCTCTCAATTTTCGTGTTCTGTTTTGCTTCGCTTTATGTATTGCAGTCAAACTGTTCGGATCCTGTTTCACTTCATGGGACAGAACAGAACAGAGTAGCTCCAAAAATGGGCGCGAAGAACAGAATGGAACACATAGCTGAAGAGCGTAAGAGGACAGAATAGAACAAGTTGTGGAACGGGAACAGCACCGGTTCCAGCATCGACATCCAGTTAACGAACGAACAAAAGCGAATGTTACGAATTCTTTCTGTTAAAAACCATGGAAATGCATCAATCATTTTTTGCCACTTTATTGATATGGAGATAGATTTTTTCCGAGATGTAATGCTGGATACAAGGCATCTCTGGATTGAGTGATCCAAGCTTTGGTTTCAACATTTCCGTGTCATCCACGTCTTAGCCCGTTCTCCCCCAACCTTCCGACGTGTACTGTCTTCCTCAGCTTAGAACCCTCCCTCCAATGTAATCACATTGCCAGCTCTAGTCATTGTACTCATTACCACCATTGACATTATTTTGAGAGAACGTGAGTGGAACACAACAGGAGAACAGAACAGTTTAAACGTAGGAACAGATGAAGAGAAAATAAAATCGCTGAAATGTTTGATCGATTGATACATGATTCGTCATCAGATCCTTGCCATTTTCATAAAGTTTACATTCCAACTGAGAATCATCAACGATTCACAACGCAGTTTAATATCCTGTTCGAGATGCATTTCTAGTTTAGGTGACATTATTGATGCTACATTTTTTTTCGTTGCTGTGAACCTTTCTCAGATTCAACAATAAAAATGAACCGAATTCTAAAGCGCATGTCGCGACAGAAATCTCGAAAATACAAACAGCGATGAATCACCTAGGCATGAAATTGCAACGCCTGCATAAATTTTGTCTTATCTCAATATATCAATGTATCACTTAATCATCAACATT